GAGTTAATTGCTTGGAGACTGTTTGTTTCAAAACCGACAAAAACACTGAAAAAAATGAGGCTGTTGCTAATTTCTGATGCAAACAAGGCTGGGCAGACCGGAACAAATGCAGAGTAGTTTCAGAAAAAGCCTTGTTGTAATAAAACAAAAGTAAATAAAAAAATGTTCAAAAAGATAGGTTGTTTCTTGATTATTTAGCTCATTCAGTTCAACTTTTTTTAAACTTTTTTTATTTATTTTTAGTTTTTGCAACTTGCTTGACTCTACAAAATAATGCACTTTTAGCAGCCAAATGGAAAAAAATATACTTTATGCAAATGAAATTACTCTGTACATAAGAGCATCAAATGCTGACTGCTAAATTGTTATAAATCGACAATGACGTTTACGAGAGAGCCTAATAAATATTGATGCACAAGTGTCAATAGACAACCTGATAGAAAGCTGAATTGTCTTTTTAGTTCGGTCCACTACAAAAGTAAGCCAGCTTTTACAATTCATTAATTTTTTTGTAAAAACACAAAAAAACAAACTTAAAAATTAAATAGTTTAAAGACGAGTTTTATGTAAGCGGTTTGATTTCAATATAAGCACAGAAATCTAGCTAAAACGAGTGGTAACAAAATACAGTTTTAAATATAACTTTAAAGATGCACATTTTTATTAATGCAAAAAAAGTAATCATTAAAAAAATATTTAAATGCAAATTGTTTAAGCAGAGTTTAAGCAAGTAAATTCAAATAATTTTAAAATTGTGAGCTTGTTATGTTAAAGTTAAAAAGATTTTTTACCAATTTGTCATTTCAAAATTTGTTGACATTTTCAGATTTATTGGATTGTTTGGCACTATACACTTAAACAGCAGCTCAACAGTAAATCAAATTGTAGTTGAGATATGCAGCAGCCTTCGTATCAGCAAAAGCAAAATAAAAACTGGAACAAAAGTGAATAAAAAAGTAACAAGCAGATCTGTCTCTGATGCTGTCCTGAAGCTCTCTGGCTCCACAATTTTCTAGTTGGTACTATTTGTTAAAACTTATCGTGGTTAAGTTTAGGAGGATTTGTGAGAAGGTAGCAGCACTACCAGTGGGCCAACTATTAGCGCATCTAGACGCATCCACTAAAGCCCCCAATGGCAACTCTATATACCGCCATTTTACTGAAAACACTTTATATTGGTAAAGTGCTCTCCTTTTCTCACAAAATGATAATGTAAAACTAAGTGTTCTTCAAAAAAGTAGAGGATATTCAATTGATTTGCTTTTACAATTCCATTAACAGGCAAATGGGTTTACTTGTACTTTATTTTAAAAACTGTTCAAATTAAAATTTATTGTTTTAGTGTTGTACATTTATAATTTAATTAAATCGTAAAACTGCAAAAAATGTTTAATAATAAATTTTCAAAACTTAGGTGTTTTTTCACTGTATATTTAAAATTAATTTGAAAAAATAATAATGCAAAGGGTAGTTTGCCAAACTGTGCATGTTTCTTTAATTTTTCATTTATATAGTTGTGAACGCCACCAGCAACAAAATAAAAAACACGTTTACGATCTAAAATCCTCTTCATCTTCATTTGGAGACAAATAAAAAGCCATCAACTTAAATGACTCAATTAAAATTGGTCCTGCCCACTTGAGGAGCAATTGCTGTTTTGCTTTTAACCAAGTGGCTCATTTTGGTGTTCAAAGTTCAACACATTTAGCGGCAAACAGGCAAAAGCATGCCTGACCAGGCAATTATAGACGCAATTGGAAGAGGGATTGGGTACTGACTCCAAAGTAATCAACAACAAGTACAACGAATTAATTGTCACTGATTGATCGATGGCATCGCCGGTGAAGTGGGCCAATTGCAATTTACTGCCGTCGAACAGCAGTTTCCCATTGCATAGCTCTACTGCAAACAATGCCCTTTCTTTTGCAGATGTTAGAGGCAATCGATAGGCACTGATTGGCACTGCTAAGCATAACCATTGCCAACTGTTTCTCAATTCTATCCATGTCTTTACCAGATTTGTATCTAATGACATATTTTTTTACTAAAAAACAAACAAAACTTTTCAAGTTATGAATAGTCAATACATTAATTATTATAATGATGTCAAGAATCTAAAAAAATATTTGGATAAAGTTATCTTTAATTATGAGGTACCGGTTTTGCACTGAAGAATTTTTTTATTTATTTTTTACACTTAGTTAACAAGCAGAAGATAACTTAGTTAATCATTAGTCCAAGTCTGTTTTTAAATTTGTAAAAAGAGGGAAACTTTTATATTTTTAGTATGTGTTTCAATTTTTTAATCAGTTTCAATCTAGAAGTTAGAACAAAAAAATAAAACTAGTACAACCGGCCATTTCAATTGTCGGTTGCTGCGTAGGATTTCATTGTCGTTTACAGTTCTTTAGAAAAAACCGCTAAATATTAATTGCTTTCTTGTGAACAAATCCTCAGGTTCCTTGACTTTTCCTTTCTTTTCCCCATCGTTAAATAAATATATTTCTAATTCTCTAAGTCCTATTATCTCTCTTTAAACAAACTGGTTTTGCGCATAGTAAGCTATAGTAGTTTTTTCTTTCTCGGCATTATTTCTGCTTTATTGACTTTGGGAAATTATAAAAATTTTGTTAACTTCGATTTTGAAAAATTAAAAAATAAAGTGATTTAACGACAGCTGTTTTTTATTACCTTTTTCACATTATTGTTTTAAAAAGGTNCTTCCCCATCGTTAAATAAATATATTTCTAATTCTCTAAGTCCTATTATCTCTCTTTAAACAGACTGGTTTTGCGCATAGTAAGCTATAGTAGTTCTTTCTCAGCATTATTTCTGCTTTATTGACTTTGGGAAATTATAAAAATTTTGTTAGCTTCGATTTTGAAAAATTGAAAAATAAAGTGATTGAACGACAGCTGTTTTTTATTACCTTTTTCACATTATTGTTTTAAAAAGGTTTTTAATTGTTTAAATTAAATTAATTATACTTTTGTTGCTTATCTGCTTTTGACCAGATAGAATTTTTCTATGACATGTTAATTAACTTTTTGTTAGCTTTAGTTTTTTCATACAGTAAAATTTTTTAAAATCATTCACGCGTGAAAATAATGAATTTTGGTAAAAATAAGTAAACATATTTTCATGTTTTTATAACTTGATATTATGCTAAATAGCTGTGCATTCAACGGCACAAATGAGAAGATTTAATAAATGAAAAACATTTTGTTGCGAGGTTTGAAATTAAAGAATAGTTTGGAAAACAACTGGAAGCAGCCAAGGAAGTATTTCCGGGAATGTCAGTTTCTCACGTGAGTCACGTGCACTGAAAAGTTGTTTTGATTTCAATATTTTTTGTTTATTCTTGAAAGATGTTGATGAACGATGTACTAAAGTGTGCATTTTCAAACTGGTATTCGATATTCCAAGATGTCACCATCGAGAGGTACATTTGTGGCACAAAATTTATTGTTATTTCATACCTTTTATTTTGTTTTAGTGACATTATCAAGCTGAATCCAGAAGTGAAATCATGGCTTTTGGCAGATGGAATCATACTACCGAAAGCGTAGGTTTTTAAAATCTTGTTTAGTAATGTAAAAGTTAATTTGTTTGTTTATATTTAGTTGTTTTCACGAGATGGACTCAAACTTCAGCGAAGATGACATTGAGGAAGATGTTGATGTGCCAGAGTTTCCCGAGCTTGAAGCAAGCATTCGCCAGTCTATTCGTAAATATCGCTTTGTATTTCCAAAGCTCAACTGGAGCGCTTGTGAAGATGCCAAGTGGATTCAAGCTTGCGGTACCAAATGCAATACTCTGTCGGAGATTTTCCTTTTGCTGAAAAGTTCTGATAAAGTCGTCCACGATCTTACTGAGGCTTATAAACAATGTACCGATTACTCTGCTGAATCAGTGCCCGAACTCGAGTACAGTCTGGTATTACGCAAGTGGGAAAACATTAATCCTTCTATGGAGTTTCGTTGCTTTGTCGGTCGAAATGAAGTCATCGGGATTAGTCAACGTGATGTACGGTCATACTTTTCTCACCTACATCGTGATAAAGATCAAATCATCTCTGATATTCTTGACTTTTTTAGAAGTAGAATTCGGGAACGATTTTCCCTTGATTGCTGTAAGTTTATATTATTCTAGTTTATGATCATTTCTAAAACAAAATTTCTTATTTTAGTCGTTTTAGATCTCTATCGCCCTGCTTCTGGAAGCGTAGTTTTGATTGATGTAAACCCATTTGGAGAAACTACCGATTCGCTGCTTTTTGATTGGGATGAGTTGCGCTCGAAAGTGCATGCACCTTTACCGCCAGTTTTTAGGGTAAATCTAGTTGTGTTCATTTTAGAAAGACTTAAAATTAAAAATTGTGTTTTATAGGATTTTCGGTTCATTGAGGAGCAATTTGGCGTGCAGCCTAATCGTCTTGAAATGAACTCTCTGCCTTTGGACGTCTTCAATGGTAACCTTGACCCAAGCATATTTCAATCAAATTTCTCAAACGGAAACTCTGGATAGGAAATATTTGCAAGTTTCAAAACATGACTTTTTGTTCCTCTCTGACATCCATCACTTACAAAATAAAAATTCAACATACAGCTGGGCTTCAAAGAAAGTGGCCACTTTCTTCCAGTCCTCGCGAGTGGCTGATGCCAGCTGAATGGCCACCTGACGCGGGAGGCAGGCTTTGTGTCTCTCTTCTGGTCGATGGATCCACCATTCAGAGGGGCGGCGGATCGTCTCTTGGCAAATTTGCCTATTGTTGTAGCCATAGTGGTAATGAACCAAATCATCCAGCGCACAAAGTATAGCATGACGTTCGCGTACTTTGTCAGCGTGGAGTTCTTAAAAGCAAAGTCAACTACAACATCTTTTATACAAATAGAGTTTGAACTTACAGCAATGTCGACTCAAGTTCTCCTGCATTTTATTTCAGATTCATTTTTATGGATAAAGATATTATCGGTGTATTGCGAATGTAGACTGATGAGAATTTGCAATCCATATAAACATGTTTAGGGAGGCATATTAAAGGTAAAGAAAAGCTCAAGCGAATCATCATTTGGATAGGTCATTATTGGCTTGTAAGCATCTTGTATTTCAGACAGCTTAGCCTTTCCAGGAAGAAGGCAATACTTGAATCTGTCCTTAGAAATGCCTTTTTTGCAAAAAATTGTGAAGGGGTACGTCCAAGGAGCGTACTTTGAAGCGTCAGTTTCGTAGATTTGTTCACTCTGCGAATCGCTTTCAAAGTGGCGTTTTTCCAAATATTTGGCAACGTGAGTCACAGTCGCGTAAGAAGGAACATAAGCATATCGAAAACTCGTTGTGGCCGGCAACTTGGGATTAGTGATGTCTTTATTGATGGAGAAGAGCGCCAGCTTAATTGAATCTGGATTCAAGATGATTTTCTGTTTCTAAGTAAAGTTTTTGTTTATAAAAACCATCATCTATCATTATCAAATAACTTACCACACTTTCATCGGATTTCGGGTTTTCTGGTTCCGCTTTCACTTGAACATGTTTTGGCAAATTCAGCGCAATGAGCGAGTCAAAGTGCGTATCAGCTCGAATGGAACCATCGGAGATAGTCTTCTGACAAGAAGGACACTGCTTTGAATTGGCTTTTACATAGTCAGTGATGCAACTTTCGCAGTATCGGCTCAAGCAGCAGATAGTCATTTGGGTCTTTTTGAGAACTTCATTGCAAAGCTTACAAGAATACAACGACTGAGCATCTTGAGACATGTTTTGATCCATTTTCAATGAGTACTTGCGTCTTCAACACTCCAAAGCGAACTGCTATGCCGCTGTGAGAAAGCGAGAAAAAAGTGCCGCAAGCAATGTGCGCAAAAATCTGCATCCACAAACAACGTAAAATTCCTCCAATTAACGCCACCTGCCTTTTTTCTTCCAAAATCTTCTTATCAAGTAAAAAATTCTAAAGCGTTTAGAATCGTCATTTTGATTTTTCAAAAAAGTATCATCATCTAGAGTAGATGGCACCACAGGATTTCTCTTTGCTTGTTTACGTTCAATCTCACTGTCTTTTCTCGAAGTTTTTTTTTCTAACTATCAATTTTTTTTCTGGCTCCAAAACGGTTCGATTGATCCAATATTCTCAGGGCAAAGCATCTGACAAATACTTTGCAGTAGTAGCTACCATTGGTGATACTGTCCAAGAGGTGAAACTTACTGTGATCATCACCAAATGGTCTTCCTCACGACTGAATCATCTTTACAAAGACCATGAACTCCTTCAATCAGCCCTTACAGCAGTTTCCGTCGATCGGTCAGTGCCCCAATGCTTACGGTGTGACGACGACGAGTGGCGGTGGTCTTTATGGCGCCTCCACTGGCCCCCAACCCGCTGCGAACATCTCCTCCACTCTGACAAACACTTCTCTGGTAGCCATGCAGCAGTTTTCCAATGCGCAGTCAGCAGGGGCAAACTTTGTCACCTTTCAGCCCAACTACGCTCAGACGATCAGCTGCCTTCAGAAGGAAGTCGAGTCACTGAAGAAGGCCAACAGCGATCTCCAGGTGGAGATGGAAAAGTTGCGTTCCGAATTCAACTACCAGGTTATGTCGGACAATGTAAAGCTCAATGAGCAGCAAAAGCAACTGGAGCAGTTGCACCGGGAGAAGCTGGAACAGGAGAAGGCCTACAAGGAGTTGAAGGTGAAGTACGATGAGAAGTACGCCCTTTTCCGCAGTCCACACCAGAGCGAGGAGCGAAGCTTTCTCTGTGATGAGTGCTACTTTGATGTAAAGTCGCAAGTGGCCCTGTTCATTCACAAGCTGAACCACCACTTTGAGTCGTCCATTCCGCGACACCTGCAGCTGAGCACTCGGTCCTTCTCTACGATGCCCGACGACTCCATTCGCTTCAAGTACAAGTGCCACTGCTGTGAGATTGACTCGGCACGGGAGTTTGCTCGCCATGAGATTTACGTGCACATCTACCAGTTCCACACCTTTGACGTGCCTTTTAAGTGCAAGTTCTGCTTTCTCTACTTTACCTCCAAGTCCTACCTCAATGACCACCTGGTGGAGAAGCACTCGGTGCCTAGTCGACTGGGCAAAGGCAAGCGCAAGGCGAATGGACTGCCAGCCAATGGTGCTGACCTCAAAAGTGGCTGCCTCTCCGCTGACCAGCTCAACTCGACACTGCCGCTTAGTCAGAGAGCTGCAACTGACGGACTGGTGTTCTCTGTTGGTGGTGGTACAAAGAAAGCCAACAAGACGACATCGAATCACCACCCCAACCTCTCCGATGATACAACCGACATAAATGAACTCTTCAATCAACTGGTCGGGGAGACAATCGACCCTGACCAGCCGATAGGCACCGAGCCAGCCACTGCCAGCAAGGAGACCAACTCCTCAAACTCAAATCGAATCCCGCGCTCCAACTCGACCGGCTCATCTGCCGCCGCTGCCACTGCCGCAACGCCCACTGCCCAAACAGAATCGCTGCAGCAGATCATGTCCGACCTGGAAGGCGATGACAGTCTCAACTGCAAATATCCCGGCTGTAAATTCCTCGCCACCACAAAAAACCACCTCAAGTTTCACATTTCGGCCCATTTGATGTCCAAGTACAAGTGTCCTTACTGTACATTTGTGGGAAATCGAGTGGTGGAGATAAAGAAGCACACGAGGAGCAAGCACACTGACCAGCATGTCTACCTCTGTCCCGACTGTGATTTTGCAAGTGACTGCGACAAAAATTTCGTCTCCCACTTTTCTAAAAACCACAATAGCCAAGTGGATGTGTCAGTGGTCATTGAGCAAATGTTTCTCAATGAAAGCAATAAAGTGGGTCAAAATATGCTCAAAGGGAGCACGTGAGCCGTCTTGCTATGTACATATTTATAGTAATCCCATTCTATAGTTTCTGTAAATACAAAGTATTGACTCTGTTCTGCTCAATTATCTAAATGTTCTTTCTTTATCGTTGCCTCTAAAACGGTGAAACAATTTTGTTAATAAAAGATTTCTTGAAAAGAATCAACTTACCATAGTTGCCACTCTCGTTCAGTTTCCCTTGAATAACGGTCTTCTCGAGAACTTCTGCTGTCTCCCAGCCAAATTGTAAGCACTGCCACCAAAGGTAGATAAAGTGTCATTCAAATACTGAGACACGCACTTTGAAATACCTTTTTGATTTCCTCAGGGTCAGTGAGACTGCGATTCTTATCAAACTCTTCTCTTGCTTTGGCGGCCATCAGTTGCAGTGCACCTGAATCACCGGCGAAAACCTTTGCCCGTGTTCGGAGCAAAACCTTGTAGCATCGAAGCACCTGTGCAGCAATAAAGTTAGCTGTTTGAAGATTCTGGAACAAAGAAAGTTGGATTTCTTTACTTACCTCGGGACGGGACATCTCTCCTAGTTATTCAGTGTAATCAGCAGCGGTGAATGTAAACATGATGCAGACAGACAGACACCCTTCTCTGCACGCACTCTCTCCTGCAAGGGGTCCTTGACGTGCTAGTCACGCTATCAACTTTGATTTAAACCTTGTAGGTGTTCTCGGGAAAAGAGGATGGGGATTCTACTCGTTTACCGACATTCAATTGAAGTCATTGGCGTTCCTGGAACCTACCAGAGCTATGAATATTCCGCCACGAGGCTGTGTCACGCTCTTTGAGGACGGCTATTGAGTTATTTTTCTCTTGTGAAACTTGGCCTGAGCTTGGCATGAGCTGTGCGTCGCATTGGAGCATTCCCGCAATATCGGGTATTCCCGCGGTGACTCCGAGCAGCCTGTGAGAAGTGTCCGTCGTGGTGGAAGTGTGCCTTGCCAAGGGGTTCAGGCGTCAGGCAGCAGCAGCAGCAGCAGCAGCAGCAGTTACTCTCTTCACTCTTTCTTCACTCACTCTTCACTCACTCTCGACTCTCCACTCTCTGTCGCCTCGCGCGCTTTCAGTCGCCCACTTCAAGTCTGTTTTGGCGCCTGCAAAGGCTCTTCAGTGGAGGTTAAAGTATCATATCTACTGGTTGCTGAAGAGACACCAGCGTTGGACAGGCCGTCGACAAGGGGTTGAAGCATCGCGGTCGTCACACAGCGCCAAGCTGTCAGCGCAGGGTTTCAGTCGGTCACCCCACTGACAACTGTTATCATCACATCATCTTGAGCCCTCAATGGGTATTCTCAATAATGCTCTTTCTTCGATAGCACCCTCTAATGTAGGGACTCACTTTCAACTGCACCACAAAGCACGTCTAAGCCATCCAACGAACCGATGAATGTCAACGACAACCTGACCAGTGATCCTCAACAACAGCAAGAACAACAACAGGAACAGCAACAATCGCTGCCACCCGAGCAAGTCGTCGAAACACCGAGCGCTCCAGAACAGAGCCCTTCGAGGCGTAAACGCAAATCAACTCGCAAGGTACTGATAAGCAGTTTTTCGCCACCACGTCAATGTAAACAAGTCATTTATTTTCCTTTTAGAGAAATCGTCAATCAGAGAACGAGAACATCTCCGTCAGCACCAGCAGCAGCAAC